TAATATTATAAAAGACTATAAAGAGTATAATAAATACTTTAAAAAATAACATTACTTTTTTTAAATAAAGTTATATAATTTTATTAACTATTATAAATATATTAAGTTACTTAATTAAAAGCTAAGATATACTTTTCCCTTAATATTAATTAAGTCTATTTATATATATTATATTTATATCTTAGTTAACTAAAATCTTAACTATTTTAAGATAATAAACTAAGTTTAAGATTATTTTAAACTTTTAATAATATATAACTAGTACTAAGATAAATAATAAAAGCTTTTTTTATTAAATATTATAAAGAAGAACCTAGATAAGATAACCCTTAACTACTTAAAGATCTTAATAAAGAAAATATAGTTACTTTATTAAGGAATCTTCTCTTAGGTAAAAGGTAATACCTTATTAGTAAAAATAAAGAATATATTAAAAAATACTATTTATAATAATAAGGCTTATTCTTTTACCTTAACCTAGCTAATCTAAATATATAAAAAACTAGTTAATATTTTTTAATAATTTATTAATATTTATAAAAAAACCTATTATTATTATTAGTAATAGTTTTATATTAATAAAGAATATTATAGTATTTAAGGTAATAGAAAATAACTTATTTTAGAGAATTCCTTAAAATATTACTTTATTTATAAAAAGTAAGACTATTAGTTTATTAAATATATTAAAAAAAAATATAAAAATACTTAAGATATTTAGTTTTAAAAGAAGAACTATATTAAACTACTTACTAAAAAGTATTTTTAGGTATTTATAATAATATCTAAAAGACTTAAAGATAATATAGATTAAAAAGGCTTATATAATATCTTTATTATATATTTAAAATTAGATAATAATAATAGCCTTAAAGAAGATAAACTTACTTATAATAAAAGTATAAAAACCTTTTTTATAAGTATTATAAAAACCTTCTAAGTCTTTAAGAGTACTAAAGAAGTATTTTTAAATAAGATTATAATAGTTTTTTAAAAGTTAGTTACCTTATATATTAAAACTAAAGAAAATTTAATATAATATACCTTATAAGTATATATATATAAAGATAAGTACTTAAATAAAGTCTTTAAAGATATTCTCTTTAATATAAGTATTATTAGTTTCTTTAATACTAGACTTTCTTAGGTATAAGCTTTAATAGTAATAATTCTTTTATTAAAGGTTAAAGAGAACTAGTATTATTTTATAATATATTTTAATACTAGTTTTATTATATTAGTAAATAATATTACTATTCTAATAATATTAAGACTAATTATTTTTAAGATATTACTAATATTTATATCTTTTTTATTATTAATTAAAGATATAGATAATATAGGTATTTAGCTTAAGAATATTAATAACTAGCTTATCTAAGATAACCTAAAGATATTAATTATTAGATATTAAGGATACCTTTAGTAGATTCCTAATATTACTAAATCTACTACCTTCTACCTAATAAAGGTTAAGCTTTAGTATTTATATTATTATTTTAGATACCCTTTAATACTTTATCTAATATACTTATTAGAAAGAGCTAGTAAGGAATTTAATTAGATAATACTAATATATCTAATAAAAGTTTATTATTAATACTAGTTAAATATTAAAGTCTTTAGAAGATTTTAGTTTACCTTAAAAAATAATTATAAGTTTAATTATAAAATTATTACTAATATTATATACTTAGACTAGATATTAGTATTATATATAATAGATATTATAACCTCTTTCTAAGTAGCTTATTTTTTATATAAAAGTAAAAATAATAATAATAAGTCTATTAAAACTATTTAAGATATATTAAGAGCTTACTAGATTAATATATATCTTAGCCCTCTAGAATAGGTAGTCTATAATACTAAAAGTAACTTTAACTTTATTAAATTTAAAAAATATACTTTTAAAATATATATTTAAATATAAACTATCTTAATAAAAGCTTATAATAATATTAATTAGCTAAAAAAGTATTATAAACTATTATAATAAACTTATATATATATCTTCGCTATGAGAGACTAGGCCGCACCTACGCTATGCCTAATCGTAGGATAAAACTATAAAAAACTTATTTTTTAGGTAAATAACTTAAGTCCTGGTAGTAGGATAGGACTAGAATAGTCCTAGCACGCTAGCGTGGCGGATGTACTAGAAAACGCCGAAAACGCGGTTAAAAGAGGTCGCGAGACTACGCGACTACCTACTAAGGGCGATATAACTATGAGCCGGCTATAACCTAGATATATTAAAAAACTAGAAAAAGAGCTTCTCCTCCTTATATTAGAAATATCCTAGGGAAAGGTATAGTCTCTCCTTAGGCGAATTAGCTAAGTATAGTAGTAAGTTAGGGGCGAGCCGCCTATAACCCCCCCCTTAAGTGTAAAGGAAATTATTATAGAAACCCTACTATAGCTAGGTAATCCTTAGTAGATATTATACGCTATAGTAGTGGCCTAGGGCTAAATAGAACCCCTAGTAAAGCTAGTACTTATATATTATAAATATAAAATAATTATTAATTATTAAAGTTATAATAACTAAGTAAAAAGGATAACCCCTAAAGGGATAGTTAATATAGTAAATAAAGTACTCTAGGCTAATACCGTAGTAGTAGCGTAATACCTACCCTTTAGAG